GGGTCGGCTGGTTGGCCCCTTTGGTTTGGTGGGGGGGGGGTCGCTCTCGATGGCCTCCTTGCACTGTCGACGGCTGTGTGTGCACTCTCAGCTGAATCTGACTTGCTGGGGTTCGGTGGCCTCTTCAGGTTGTGGGCTGGCTATGGAGCTGGGAGTAGGGTCTTGGGTGTCTGGACGGCACTTGGGTGTGTGGACTGTTGGTCCCGGTTTCTGGCGGTCATCTGGGCTCTGTCTGTCCGTGGTCTAGGGCTCCCCGGGCCTGGTGGTCTGTCCAGAGGAAGAGGTATTGGGGCCTCACTCCCTGGGTGTGTCTCGGGGAACGGTGGTGGTCAGCAGGGGAGCTGAACCCCTGTGGGAGCATTTTGCTCCTCCAGTCATTTTTCTTCCCATCCCTCACCACATACCTCCACCCTCTTCATTTTCAACTCCACTCATGTAGGGCTTTTGGGGAGCAGGTGTGTTACAAGGAGCAACATTGTACATCTCCATTTGCCGTGACCACCTGGGCCCCAATTTTACTGTACACCATAGACATTCATTTGTAACATCCTCGTGACATTCACATATAGGATCTTGGGGGTGGGCACTCTTAAGKCACACAATTGGCAAGGTGAAATCACTCAMGTCACTGATGCCTGTGTCTGCCCCCAGTGGTTACTTGTTGACATTTAGGGTTTTGGGTTAGAATTGGGCCTTGTTCCATACCTCCATTGTCGAGGCGGCTTACCYGAGCYGTGGCCATRAGGTTGTCGGTGCCCGTYGAGGTGGCAACCCTCAAACCCGCTGGTGGGCAGCGGTGCTGTCAGGCTGAAGAAGGAGTCCTATTGGGTCTTTTTAGGCCTGTGGGACTCCGGAAGCGGCCGATAGGTATCAGCAGTCCAAGCAGATTTCAGCTCAGGTGGTCACTGAGGCAAAAACTCAGGCGTGGGAGAAGTTTGGAGGGGCCATGAAAAAATACTTCCGTACGGCTTTGAGGTGATTCTGGTCCACAATCCGGTGACTTGGGGTGGGGGGTTCGCCACCAACACTATTTACGGTGGGGATGGTGCACTTCTGACCTCAACTTGGGACATTKTGGGTTGGWGTGCAGAATACTTTGAAGACCTCCTCAATTCTACTGRCACRTCTTCCCATRTGGAAGCAGAGCCTRAGGACCCTGGATCAGACTCYCCAATCTCTGGTGCCGAGGTMACTGAGGTGGTTWAAAAGCTCCTTGGTGGCAAGGYGCCGGGGGTGGATGAGATKCRCCCAGAGTTCCTTAAGGCTCTGGATATTGTGGGGTTGGGTTGGTTGACACKACTCTACAATATCAAGTGGACATCAGGGGCAGTRCCCCTGGATTGGCAGRYCGGGGTGGTGGTCCCCCTATTTAAAAAGGGGGACCACAGAATGTGTTCCAATWATAGGGGGATCACACTTCTGAGCCTCCCTGGTAAGGTCTATTCAGGGGTTCTGGAGAGGAGGGTCCGTCTGATAGTCGAATCTYAGATTCAGGAGGAGCAGTGTGGTTTTCATCCTGGTCGTGGAACAGTGGATCAGCTCTACACTCTCAGCAGAGTCCTGGAGGGTGCATGGGAGTTTGCCCAACCAGTCTACATGTGTTTTGTGGATTTGGAGAAGGCATTCGACCGTGTCCCTTGGGGACTCCTGTGGGGGGTACTCCGGGAGTATGGGGTACCAGGCTCATTTAAACGAGCTGTTAGATCCCTGTACGACCTGTGCCAGAGCTTGGTCTACATTGCCAGTAGTAAGTTGGACTCATTTCCAGTGAGAGTTGGACTCCGCCAAGGTTGCCCTTTGTCACAGATTCTGTTCATAACTTTTATGGACAGAATTTCTAGGCACAGCCAAGGTGTTGAGGGGATCCTTTTTGGTGACCTTAGGATCACATCTCTACTTTTTGTGGATGATGTGGTCCTGTTGGCTTCATCAGATCGTGATCTCCAGCTCTCACTGGAGCAGTTCGCAGCCGAGTATGAAATGGCCGGAATGAGGATCAATGCCTCCAAATCGGAGACCATGGTCCAGAAAACGGTAGCGTACTGCCTCCAGGTCGGGGAGGAGGTCCTGCCCCAAGTGGAGGAGTTTAAGTATCTTGGGGTCTTGTTCATGAATGAGGGAAGAGTGGAGCGAGAGATTGACAGGCGGATTAGTGTTGTGTCTACCATGATGCGGGCGCTGTACCGGTCTGTTGTAGTGAAGCGGGAGCTGAGCCAGAAGGCGAAGCTCTCGATTTACCAGTCGTCTACGTTCCTACCCTCATCTATGGTCATAAGCTTTGGGTAGTGACTGAAAGAACGAGATAGCGGACGCAAGCGGCCAAAATGAGTTTCCTTTGCAGGGTGTCTGGACTCTCCCCTAGAGATGGGGTAAGAAGCTCAGTCATCTGGCAGGGACTCAGAGTAGAGATGCTGCTCCTCTACGTCGAGAGGAGCCAGTTGAAGTGGCTCAGGTATCTGGTTAGGATGCCTCCTTGACGCCTCCCTGGTGAGGTGTTTCAGGCATGTATACAACAGCATTAAAAGCCAATTTAATTTAATATAATCAATCGATATAGTTAAAATCTAATTCCAGTTCAAACAGAATAGCCTATTGTCAACATTTTTATGGAGTGTGATTGATAGGTGTTTTTCCTAATCATATACAAACAC